TGAGGAAGATGAGGGCGTACTTATTCAATAAAATATGATGATGTGACCCCATATCCTGCTGCAAAAATTATTTTCTGCGTGCTCCAAAAGTGCTCAGATGGATCCTGTAGCCTATATATGGTGGAGTAAAAAGGACACCGGTTTGTTCAGTGGTGTATAAAACAATGGGGTAATTTTTAGTCACAGGAAATGAGGTAAAAATTTCAGGGTGTTGCTTCACACCTTCTGACATCAGCACATCTTCCCTAGTGTACGAGCGAGACCTCATTTTCCCTGCATAGCTAATCCTTCACCAGTCTGTTGCGGTTGGGTAACTGTTGTAGGCTGCGGAGGCCATGTAGGAGTGTGAAATTGTTGGTAGGAGTTGAAGGTGAAATCACGGGAGGACACAAAACCCAGAGGGCTTCTGACCCTAAATTCACATCAATCTTCTATTAAGATGCTAATGAGTAAATGCTAACAGAACATTACGTGTATATATTAATGGCAAATTTAAAGGGCAATATTTCTTTACGATGCAGGTTTTCCCAAAGGACTAAACGTGACATCCAAGTGTGCAAGTAGGCCGTGTTTTCCAGGTGTTCAGTGCATTGACCTCCGGCCGCCCTACACTGGCTACGTCTGTGGACGATGTCCTCCAGGATACCAGGGCAATGGGCGCACCTGCATAAAACAATCAAAGCAAAGCAGTAAGTACTTTTTGAACTTAACAACATTGCAATCAGTCTTTCAAAGCTATATATAAATATATAAATGCACGCACAAGCACACGCTCCTTTTTATCAACACAAAACTAAACAATACAACTTTTTCAGAGTTGTTGCATCATAATGAAGACTTAACTTACATTTTTAGCTTTGTTTAAAAATGAGTCTGTCGATGTATTCATCTTCAATCCTTTCTTAATCCTCTTTGTTTCATCTCCTGAAAGTGCAGAGCTCCAGTAATTAGAGAAAAACATAATGAACAGGAAACAAGCCTGTCGTAATCCTCAGAACGCGACAGGTGCTTTGATACGGTTGATAAGTGAGACCTGGAAACATCTAATGCTCAGTCATGCACAGGGTGCGGCTCGGTGGTTGCTGACCCACAATGTGCTTTTGGCTGACGAGTATAGGGAATGGAAAAAGACAGTAAGGAATTAGGGAAAGAGTGTGTAAACTAATTTAGATAGGGGATGAGGAGGGGTGAAGACAGTGAGGAAGAGTGAACAGAAAACTGGGCTTTTAACAGAGTAGCAGGGTTTTTTCTTGTTTCTGTTTTTTTAGTCTTTGATTCTCCTTTTATATTAAAAAAAAAGCAAAACTACCAGACTGCATCTTATCCCTTCTTATCCCCAGAGTACAGTATGTTACATTTCACTCAATGGAAATGTTGTTAGACTTCTTAATCTGTTCCTTTGCATGAAAAATCCCTTGAATATATTTTCCTTGGTTGCAGTATCGCAGCACGACGGTAAATGCCTTCAGAGCGGGGTAATGACTTTTAATGCATTTTTCCCTGTGAATGGGCCACTGCTGGAATCATTCCTAATAGTGCCGTTATCAGGAGTGAATCCATGAGAAGCCACAGTGGGAACTAGAAAAGAAACAGCTTCATTTTGCAAGCTAATTCCCTTATTGTCGCCACATGCATCCCAGATTGTTACACACTCAGAAACAACTGTGTGTCTCTGTTGTTGGGATTGCATTTTGTTGTATTGTGTCTTTGTTCCTCGCATGTGGATGGGGCACAAAATAAATATTGTCGAGCAGCCACAGCGACTATCTGTTGTTTATGAGTAAATATACCAGCACCACCATGAGGTTTTAAGCTAGTACTGAGCACCATTGCATCATAACTGCATTTCTGGTTATCTTATTGTGTAAAATCTTCAATAGTCTGTTTAAGATATCCAGAGGATGTTGATGAATCATAAGTGCAAAATACACTATCAATCTCTTATTTTCATTTTGTTTCCTTAATGTAATGAGCTTTGTTGTGGCTGACAAGTAAACTTTTTAAAGCTGGATTAAAAGTATTTACTGTTCATAAGCTTGACAAGTTTCTTTTCATCTAGCATAATAAGCTTGTCCTCTCATCTAGCACCCCGCTACTCACCACAACTGACCCAAGCCAAGAACAACCTACCGCATGTCTCCCACGGCTTTCCCCATCTGCACCTCCCAGTCCTTCCATTCAGGCAACCTCAGAGACGCCTATCCTCACCAGCGAGGGTCCCACACCATCAGGCCACCACTCGGTTCCCCCTCCCACCAACCTTTCCACCTGTCACAGGGAAAGGGGAGTTGGTGCTGACTGCAAGACACACACCTGCCTTAACCAGCAGCAGGGATCGACTCCACTCTCGCTCTCACAATCAACTTAACGTTCTTCCGAGTCAAGAGGAGCGAGATGCTTCATTTAAAGTCTCGGCAGGTGGATTTGCAGGCGTCACGCCTGGAAAAGTCACATTACCTCACACTTCAAGGCATGTTGAGACACTGAGGAAGTCTCCACAGCAATCCAGTCTGGTCACAATTATCCGACCTCGACCTTGGACACCTCCAGACTCCCAGAAACCCCTAACAGCAGCCCTAACCTCCCTTTCCTTCTCCTTTCCGGAGTCGGAGTTCTCTGCAGATGGAGGCTTTGGAGCCAGAATCCAAGACCCCTATGAGACGCAACCACTGCCTCAGGAGAGTTCCACCTACCTTGGTGAGCAAAGCCAAACCAAAATCCTGGACAACCAACCAACTCTTCAGAATGGTAGACACCAAAGCAAGAGCAAAAATGTGGTTCTCTTAGAAGAGAGAAGTTTATCCTGTGCATATGTCCCTTGCTTCCCAGGAGTCCACTGTGAGCTTGCAGGGGACGGGCAACCTAGATGTGGACGGTGTCCTTTGGGGTACACTGGAGATGGGCGAATGTGCAGAGGTAATTTTAGATGTACAAGATGACTTTTGCTCTGCAAGTCCAACATTAGAGACTTATTTATCCATGACATAAACGTCCGAGCAAAAATTGCCAACTTGCACTGCAAGATGTGCAAATATTATACCTTTAAGGTTATGACATCTTGTCACTGGGGCAGTACCCTACATCTTTGTATCTTATCCACCCCTAAAATGTGCATATTATTAACTTAAGCCCAAAACACACTGCACAGTTTTAGCAATCATATAAGATCACTGCATGTCACACTGTGTGACATGGATCTAGTAAACTTGGCTACGATGTGTGTGTAGAATGTATGATGATGACACCTATTGACTCGTACGATACGACGCACATTACTATAAAGGAATAAAATGTCATCAGCATGTGCTAGTGGTAAACAAAAAGAGCATGATAAATCATAGTTGTATTTTTATGTGTGCTGAAAAGAAGTGGAAGCGGCGAAAGAGGAAGGGATAAGAGCTTGAGGTAAGCTGTTTTATGTTTTAGTGCCATGTTGCATTGATTTCATGTCGCATTTTTATTGGTTGGTCAGTAAACATGGATCGTACCAGCAAACACACTGTGCAATGATCATGCTGTATCGTAGGCTATCTTTGGGTGCAAGATCGTGACCATGGCCATCTTTGAACCTCTCTCACTGTACAACACAGGACCACCGATTAGGAGCCACGATCACAGAAATCGCCACGATTGATTCACGATGCCAATCTTTCGTCTGGGACAGCCGAAAATCGTGCAGTGTGTTTAGGGCTTTAGAGCAGTAATATGTACCCTTAAGGTGCTACTATGAACGTTTTAGAAGGTAAATAAGGTACAAAATTGTCCCTTTTAAGAAAACTGCCTGTGACAAATGTTGCACTTTTTTTCTAAGAGTGTCGACAGTATACCATAATTTAGATGCCACTAACCTGGCAAACTTTGCTTATTATATTAAACCGGTACATTCCTGATTATAGATTCCCAGGCGAAATGGTGAACCCTGACTCTCAGAAATGTGGCAAAGCCATCTAGTCTGATTTGAACTACCAATATTTGTATAGTAATTGCCGATTTAATGTGCAAAATGTCAGTGAACAAATTGGGGGCATACCTTCTGAGGTCTAGACTATGGAAAATTGTGCAGTATGTGGAGTTTAAGACTGACATCTGACAGTAACTGGTGTAAACAATAAGCTCATTCCCCGAGCATGCTCTAGGCATAAGGAATAAATATATTCCTTGAGCTACATCCCATGGGTTAGTGAACCTGAGAAAATTAGGAGCAGTGGGTGGAAGAATCACTACAAACATGTTTGCTGTTGTAATCCCATGATATTGCATTACAATGTTGAAATTCACTCAGGACAATAATTACTTATTCATTCATGGATTATATTCAGGCACTGTTTTGAAGGTATGAATATAGCATGAACATGCACAAAATAGTCACAGGTGTTTTGCGTTGAACTCTACAAAGCATATAGCAGTGGATACAGCTTTTCAAATAAACAGGAAGTTTATGTGGCGAATGATACCCAACTATTCAAATCAGTCCTGTATTTTTCAGAATGCTTGAAGGAAGAACTTAGGGTGAATCTTAAATAGCAAGCATGGTAATGATCTAAAAATATAACACCAGCATCACCTGCACTTTTACAACAACTTGCTTTAATTAAAAGGGAAAGGTACACATTTAAAATAGGTATAGTACATACGGAATTTTTATATGTTTTCGCTTCCTGTGCTTCAGGGCCACAGATGGAGGCAAATATGTGTTTGTCTTTTGACGGAGTGAATCGGACCATGTGTTATTTGTGTTTGCATGACATTTGTGCCTTCAGCCGTGTGCAGACATGCCTGCGGTAGAAACATGGAGTGTGCGGCCCCCAACACGTGTCGCTGCAAGAAGGGATACAGGGGTCCCAATTGTGAAACAGGTCACAAACAAAAACACACCAATTTTTATAATGTTGTAAATATGGTCATAGGTACAATCACATACACAAGGACTAATTTTTGAAATAACGTAATTGTTCAATAACGTAATTTTGGATTCTCACAGCAATCTGCAGTCCAGCCTGCCTGAACGGAGGGAAATGTGTGGCGCCAGATGTATGTGATTGCATGTCAGGTTACCATGGAGAGGCTTGTGAAAGCGGTAAGAGCACTGAAATTTCATTGCCATTCAGCACTAGTGTAAATAATGTGTAAAAAGTGCAAAGCTTGATAAGTGCTGTTTTTCTGGTCTTTTTTAAAATGGTCAGTAGCCTTTTGTCTGTAACAGCCTTTCGTTTATGAACCGTGATTTGCTTTATTTTAATGGTCAATAGCCTTTTGTTTACATCACAGCCTTTTGTTTATGAACCATGATTTGCTGCTTTTATTACAAGTTGGAGTGGTATTTATAAATTTAATAGGAGACAACATTGTTTTGAGAGCATTTCATTTGACAAATGTTTGCATACACATTTTATGTTCAGGAAAATGATTGTCCATTTTATATCTGTGTAGGTTAATTTTGTGTCAAATAGCATACAGATGGCCTCAAGTATTATGTTTTTTGGTACCATTTTGCAAATCTGCACCATTTGTGCTTTCCATAAAGAGGCAAGAGCCAAATAATCTGCACAGACTTGATGAGGTATGCATTAGCGGTTTGCTTTTTGTGATATATGACTTTATTTTATGTGCATTTGGTCGTATGAATATTCCCGCAGCTCTCTGCAGTTTGCCTTGCCTGCACGGAGGCACCTGCGTGGGTCGAGACACCTGCTCATGTCCCTATGGCTTCGTAGGGTCCAGATGTGAAACCAGTGAGTCCTGATAAATCATGTTTGCTTGGATTTCATGTGGATGTGGATGTTAAATGTAATCTCTTGCACCCCTAGTGGTCACATATGGTGTTGCATGTGTTTTGGTTTCATTTACACAGTGGTGTGCAACCGTCACTGTCAAAACGGCGGCAAGTGTGCATCACCGGATGAGTGCAAATGTCTGGTGGAGTGGACGGGACCATCGTGTGAGACAGGTGAGAGAGTGTGTGTGGTTGGCTCCCTGTGGGACCAATCTCTTCTCACTAAATCCATCATATGTGTGTGTGCTGCTTCCTGGTGGCATTTAGCTGATGTAGAACCTCTATCTCTTCATTTTTCATTCTGTCCTAGTGGCTCAGAGAATACACCAGCTATTATTTCAGCCTGATGATAACTTCCTCTCGTCAACCTGTGAGGATCAATTACTATCAATTGAGCAGAGAGCCTCAGAGTAACAAATGTCATTTTTATTCACATAAATAATACTTTAAACCAATATAAGTCAACCCTGACTCTCCTAACAAAGCAATAAGGTGATGCAATAAGATGTTGCCATAGGTATTTTTAGGAATAGAGAGAGAATTAACTCTTTTTTTTTTCCCATTTAGTCAGTTTTCATATTAATTTTAAAGTTTTACTAATTTTGTAATGAGCTTTTGTCATTTTTATATATATTTTTTTAATTCTATGTAGGTTTATTTTTATTTAATTTTTACTTTTAGTAAATATATATATATATATATACACACACACACTTCTGTCATGACAACTCTCGGAGGGATTGGCACGGTAATGTACATGACAATGTTAATGTATTTGGTCTTGGCGGAATAGATCTGCTACGCTGCTGCGGCAGAGCAAGTACCG